AAATTAAAAAAAATTATAAAAAAAGTATAAAACTGGAAACATAAAAACTTTAACAAACTATTTGCAATAATTATTTGATTTTTATAAAATGAGCATTTTATAAAAGCTTTTTTTATAAAAGCTTTATAAAATTTCACGTTAACACTACAGCACTGTTTTGTGGTAATTAACTTATATAGTGCTTCTTTAAGATCTTTTTATTGTTCAAATAGAAAATCTGATTTTGACTGAAAAAGTCATTGACGATTTTATTTCTGCATTTGCGAGCTTAAACAAAATGCCGACAAAGCACAGTGGTCATTTTTGGGGTCAAAATCTGCAGAAAATCCCAAAAGTGTCATGAAAAGATTTTTTAAATTTATGGTGTTCATCAAAAAATAGGATAGTTGGAGAGCCATAATATGAGGTTTAAGAGAAATTGAAGTAAAAATAGGTTGGCTATGAGTAGAACAACAGGAGGAAAAAAAGTAGTGAAAAATTTACTGAAAAATGACTATTTTTAAAGTGGGTCTTAGAAAATAATGGGTGAAAATTTTCAAATTTTTGTTTAATAATTTTAGTAATAAAATTTAAAAACTATATTGCTATGTATAGTAATGATTTTTTCAAACATCAGAAAAAAAGTGTACTACATGTCAAAAACAGTGCTGCAACTTTTTCCCAACAAATCCCAACAAATTGGGACCAAATCAGGTGAAAAGAGGAAATAAAGACCTTTAAAATGACACATGAAATTGTTGCGGGGAGTTGCAAGAGCTTATTTTATTGACTTTTAAAGTTCGCGCAAGCATGTGTGCGCGTGCGATCGTAATTGTCGGCGAGCGTAAAAATTCGAAATAATAAGCATCTTGCACTTTGGCTTGCGGAGTTTTGATACAATTTGCAACATTGGATATCGCCAAGATGTCAAAAAGTTCCATCTTCATATGAGCCCTGATGAAAAAAGACTGGTTGCAAATCGGGAGACACGAGTCAAGCAAGAATTTCGGGAGCAGCTGGGTCTAATTGTTGACCAGAGGCGGGATGGAGGTGCTGGCACTACAACAACAGGAAATGTTGCTCGCAAAGCTTTTCAAAACCCAGGTAGCTACACTTGCAAGTTTTGGTACTTTCACCAAACTTTTTGGGAAGCATTCAGAAATAATTTAGTTTTTAGATATTGTCTTGTCAAGTTGCATGAGCATCACATCATAGCTTTGCTGTCAATTTGGAGAAATTCAAATCTTGATATCTGTATATTCCTACATATTTTCTTTCTTTTTTAGAAATTGTTGCAAGAATCTGTGATGTCCCTGTCAAACTGGTTGAAAATTTTGGAACACTCTGGTCTGCCCTTGCATCTGGATATGCCATTGATCCAGACAAGTTTGGAGTTCTGTGTGAAGAGACTGAGAAGATTTATTTTGACCATGTAAAATGGTACTGGTTGTCCCCAACAATTCACAAGGTTCTGAAACATGGAAAACAAATCATTGAAGCTTGTGTTCTTCCAATTGGAATGACCAATGAGAAACCAGGAGAGGCTAACAACAAATTTCTTCGAAAAATCCGTCTTTATCATGCTCGAAAATCATCCTGGCTCAATGGCATGTCTGACCTTTTCTTGAGACTGATGGACATCAGTGATCCAAAGATACAGGTAATTTTGGAATTAAGCCAAAATTTTTCTAATTTCAATAATTTTTCATGCTTATTTAATTTAAATGATTTCTGAAACAGGACCTTTTTTCATTTGAATTTCCTTTGATAGCAATATTTTCTTTCATCCATTAAATGTTATATATAATTTTTAGGTCTATGTCCACTGCAAGAAAAAGAAGCACAACTCAGAGATCTTGCCTGAACCCATCAAGAAACTCTTGAAGATGCCGGAACTTCAAATTTCTAGAGATGCCTCTGATTCAGAAGAATAATAAAGAAGTCAAACAAAGCAACCAAAGCCTCTCATAAAAATTAAAAAAATTCTCATACATTCCCAATTTTGTTATTTATCTAATGTTATTAGTTTCAACCAGATCAAACAAAATTGATATGCTTAACTCTATGTAAAAAAATATTTTCTTTGATGTAAGCACTTATGTTGTGCCTAATATAACCAACTAGAACCTCATTTGTGTTAATTTTTTTTAGCAATACATTTAAAAACTGTCATACATGATGGGCAGGTTGGTAATCTCCCTGTGGGTATTCCTCATGCTTAAGTAAAAATGTTTTCTGCCATTATCATGTTTGATATGATATTTGTGTGAAATTTCTTCTATTTAATAAATCCATTTTGATTTTTAAGGTAATGAGAAACATAATTCATTTTTGCAACCTAGCATTAATTGCAAAGTGTCAAATCTAACTTAAAAAAGTGAATATTTTATTTTTTAAAGCAATTTTTTGGGTTATTTATAATTTTTACTTCAAATATGTTCATACCGGCTCTTTTTGAACACATAAAAAATGTTTTAAATTTTCTGCAGGTTTTGACCCCCAAAATGACCACTGTGCAAAGAGTGTTTTAAAACCATAAATTGATTTATAAAAAAGACCAGTATATTTTTCCTCCATAAAATAACATGTTTTTTAAAAGCCGCAGCGTAACAATTGAAATATTTTGTTATTTTAAACTGCTTTAAATTTGTATACTGGAAGACCAACAGGGGGCCAGACGGTGTAGTATACCGGGAGGCATAATACGCCATCTGACCCCTTTTGGTAAATGACCGAGAATTAAAAAAACTGACCTGATTAAGACGATTATTTGATACTATTGACTATTGTTATTCTAAATTTTTACTTTTTTTACACAGAAAAATTTCTGATTAAGAATTTTTTTTTTAAATAAAAAATCTATTGATCGTTTTAAGAAACAAATTTTTCACTATACAAAATGTTTCTCAAAACAAGAAATATATTTCTTGTTTTAAAAAATAAACTTTTTAACTATGGGCAATAGATTTACGATTTCACTTTGAATCTTAAAACAAGAAACAAATTACTTGTTTTAAGAAACAAACTTCCTACCCAGCAATTTGTATTGTAAAGCATATTTCATGTTTTGAGAAATAAATCTTTTAAGTTTTGGAGAACAATAAATGAAAAATCAGTACAATTTGCCACAAAATACACAAATACATTTCATTACTATTTTTACATTTGGAAACACTTCTTCTAAAGTTTCATTCTTTGATTAATTTTAATTTAAGACATGCAGACGAAATGAAAGTTTTTTTATAAATTTGTTTGTTGTAAAGTGTAAACATTCAGTTTTGACTGGAACATTCAATATTATATATAGTTTTTATAGTGTTGAAATACAAATATACGTTTCGAGAACTGACAAAATGCACCACATCTTACATAGTCCTTTAATCTATTAATTATTACAAAATAAATTTCAGTTTTTTTTTTCAGTTTTTATCCAAGGTTATAACTGTACAAATTTTTTTTCATCAAATGATAAAAAGTAAATGAAATAAAAATAAAATAAAAGAGTATATATTAACAAGAATGTTTTTTTTTAAAAAGAAATATATTTTTTAAAAGAAATATAAATATATATAAAGTTATTTTTTCCCCCGCCGTTTACACATATAGTAAAAAAAATATGATTTATTACAGTTATTTAATATTTTTGTAATACACATTTTCAGTTATAATTTTGATAAATTTGTGCGCTAATATTTTATTATGGCTCATAGCAAAAACGCGAAAATGTTTCACTAAATGGTGTGGTGACCACAATTTCAGAAGAGTGATGTATTGATTTTTGTAAGTCCTTTGTAAGTATTGTAGGAGATGTGTAATGTGGGAAAAAAAGCAGCACCATCCAAGTTATGTTGAATTGAAGGCTAATCATATTTGTTTCACAGTCACACAGCATTATCAGGTCCAATGGAAAGTGTAAAAATGTTTAATTGCTCTGTAGAAAAAAATGATTTGATTTTTAAATATTACTATAGGGATTTCTCTGCATTCAATGATTTTCTTAACAGTAATCCATATGGAAAGTTTCAAATCATACCAAAAGTTCAAGTCAAAACAAAAGTTGTGTTGGTCATATCCAGAAGCGCATTGGTACAGGACTACGCAACTCAAGAAAAGATAAACATCATGGTAATCGGTTAACTGTAAAAGGAAAATTGATCGAATGCTCAGTTAATAGAATGCAAAACTATTTTTGTATGGCTATTCGACAGGATGCAGTTAATAATTCTTTAAGTGAAAATGAAAAGATAAACCAAGTTAATTTACCAGTATGAATATATGATATTACTAAAAAAGAGTTTGAAGAAGTAATAGTAACTTTTTGAACGACCAACTATTAAAATAAGCGCGCTCGAAATTATAACTGTGAAGATGTGTATTATAGAAATATTAAATTATTTCATATCTATTTTAATATATTTCATATATACATATATTTAATATATGTATATATGAAAAAATTATATCTATTCTAATTTTCTTCTAGAATCAAAAAAAAAAATTTTTTATATTTTTTCACAGCTAACTTATTAAAACAATGTTTTTAAACACTAAAATTTATCGATTAGAAATTGACAAACCCTAAGTTAAACATTCCGCCTTTTTAACTGCCTATGTTCTGTAATAACAATAAGACACGGTTTCAAGAGATCGGCCACGGTTTTAAGAGACTGCCCATTGTTTAAGATATGTTATAACCGTGATGATAAAATTTTAACAAAACTCTTATATAAAACACAGCAAAAAAAAAATTACGGTTCAGAAAAAAAAGGCGCTTTTTTGACTTGATAATTTCTTGGCAATCTAGGCAATTGCCTTACTTTGCCAATTTGAAAATCTAGGACTGTATGGAATACGGGATAGTGACACAGCTTATATTGACACAGCGATATACACAGTGGATAGACTACTATACGGGATAGTGACACAGCTTAAGGATATGGCAAAGTAAAGATCAAAGTAAATAAGTAACTATAAAAAAATATCTACAGAAATAAAGTTGGAAAAAAAAGAAAAAATAAAGATCAAGTTTCATCTTTACAAAAACATATCTTATCAGTATTAAAATGTAAATAACAGCATAAATAACTCCACCAATGACATAATTGTAAAAAAATTTACAAGATGACATCATTATAAAAAATCTATAAGATACATCATAATAAAAAATTACACAATCACGGCAAAATTTAAATAAAGATATATGAAAATATAAGAAAAATGAACATAAAAATAAGAAAAAATAAATTAAACAACTAAGATACCTATTAAAATTTTTTTTTTCTCCATCAGAATCACAATTTTAAAATATTTTTTCCCACAAAATTGGTACTTACTTATTTAAAACTTCTAAGAACTTTCTAAATTTAAAAAATAACATAATAAACTAAGCTTCAGGGTTGGTTTTCATAAGTTGAATATCTGCCTCTACCATTTCTTTAACGAGCTCCTAAACAAATGCGACATAAATGAGATAATTACAAAATGAAAAATATTTTTTTACATTATTCGTATAGTATTCGCATAGTATTCGTATAGTATTCATTTTACAGAGCTTTAAAGTTGAAGTTGGTTCAAAACTTTATGCACACTGTTCTTTACACTCAAGTGTTTGAAAAAATTCTGATAAAAAAGTTCAAAAATGTTTTCAAAAATTTTATAACATTATATAAAAGAATTCTAAATTTTAAATTTATACCAAAAAATCCTAAATTTTAAAATATTTTGTCAACATTAAAAAAATTGTATTTAAAGATTATATGTAAAAAATGTTTAAATTAAAATTAATTAAAATAAGTTTAAATTAAAAAATTAAATTAAAAAGTTTTAAATTAAATTAACAGAAGCGATCGATAGCTCACAAAGATTAGTTTTTTTAGAGGAATCCGTAGAATGCGTACACAATTGAAGAGGGAGGGGAAAAGGTTAAACAATAGCGTGTAATTTTTAAAAGGTATACTGCAGATATTGATACCATGAAAACTGCGAATGTGATGGATTCCTTTTATATGAAACCTCTAAATTACTAAAATTAAAACAGTTTTCCTAGTTTTTTTTAATTTTAGCTAAAAAATTTTCTTTAGAGCAAAGAGTTTTATTTCATGTTAAATCACTCCAGTATTAAAGCAAACGACATATTCTATACTAACAATTTAAAATTTACTTCATCTATAGTAAAATACTAAACAAAACAAAAAATTCAACAAAAAATTAATTATATGGATTGCCTTTTCTGAAAATATCTCACCCCTATTTTGTGCCTAGTGGACTGGCTATAAATCAAGAAATCTATTTAAATAAAAGCGTTAAGAAAATATATATTCCATTCATCGATAATTATCATTCAGATGGTGCATATGTGTTCATATTTATGATTTAGCATTGTCTGCATAAAGAGAATAAAACATGAGAATATGGTGCCAAGGAAACTTTTAAACATTTCTGTCTTTATGAAGATATACAGACACAAACATGATTTCTTATGTTTAATAAATTTTATGGTAATATAACAATATTTCTTCTTTAAATATAAATTGAAGTAACTTATAATTTTAAAACAGATAAATTGTGCAATTTATCACCAGGTTTAAATGGTTTGATTCAGTCAAAAATTATATATATGTATACATATATATATATATATATATATATATATATATATATATATATATATATATATATATATATATATATATATATATATATATATATATACATATATACATATATATATATATATATATATATATATATATATATATATATATATATATATATATATAAGTGTAATAAGTATATATATATATATATATATATGTATAAGTGTGTATATATATATATATATATATATATATATATATATATATATATATATATATATATATATATATATTATATATATAAGTGTAACTAAAAAAATAAATAATAAAATGATTTTAAAGAAATCCTGAGATACAATTGTACCCTAAAAGATTAAAAAAAGATTTACACATAATAAAAGTTAATTTTCTTACATCAAAGGAGACTTTTCTTTTCCAACCCAATACTTTCTCAGCTTTTGAAGGGTCACCTTGCAAATATTCCTTATAAAAAAATTATAAAAATTAATGCTTCATATTTTTAATTATTTGTTTTATTTAAAACACTATACTTTTTAATTCTGCGGTTTTTGCTTTCAATTGTGGGGTTGAATTGAATTGAAAATTAATTTTAATGACTTAGTTCAGTAATTTATAACAAACTATATAATTAGTTAAGTAACTAAGAAGTTATACTTAAATAATAAAAACAATTTTAGTCTAAATATTGACAAAAAATTTGTTATTAGAAAATAAACCTAAAATATACTTTCTGCAGTTACACCCTTTTTAAAGTTATGTTAGAAAGACGATTTCTTATTTAAAATTTAGAAAGACTTCAATAATTGCCAACAATCATTTTTTCAATGCTAGGCATTAAAAAGTTGTTGAGAGTTATTTAAATACATAACTAATCAATAATCTTGGACTTCTTTTAAAATGTAACATTTTCAAAATAAGTCAAAGATTGTAATAGGTTTTTCATTAACATTGTAGATAATTAATTTCAGCTAAAGTTTTAAATCTATTTTATTTAGATTGCAGTTTAACAAAAATTTTTTTTTTACAAATTATAAAATTTTTATTATACTTTTTTTTTTCTTTTTCTATTACTTTAGTTATACACGAGTCATTAAAAACTTCTAGGCTAACTCAAGCTTTTAAAATTTAATGAAGAAGATTATTTATTTTATAGAAGTCCAAACCTGTCTATTTTTTATTATATAGCTTTTTCAATTTCTTTAGTTTTACCTCACCTCATTAGGTTACCTACAGTTAAAATATAATTTGAAATTAGTAAATTTTCATGATTTGAAATTTACTTTAATGATCATTTTGAACAGTTCAGGAGAAAAACATTAAATTTAATTAACTAAATTTAGAAAAAACAAAAACTTAGAATAACAATTAAGTAAAGAATAACTTAGTTTACTAGTAACATTAAAAAACAAGTTTTCATGGTTTATTATCATGTTATTGCTATTTTGTGCTATTATGATATAACTCTCATGTTAATTACGATATAACTCACGCTGTTTCTCTCATGTTATAACTCTCATGTAAATTTTTTTTTATACTCATGCTAATAATTTTGATAATTTGTTATATTTCTTTTAGTATTGATTTTTATTATTTTTAACACAGTACTCGTGGAAAAAATGTAGCACTCTTATATAAGAAGGGACACTGCAAATAAACCGATTTCAAAAAAATAAAAAGGCTTAAATAATGTATAATGTACACACAGGTAAATGTTGGTAGCTTTAATGCATTATTTACAAAACCTTGATTATTTTTTAACTTATTTTATAAAGACATTTATTTTCTGAAGATTCATTTTACTTTTTTGAAAATAGACACTTAAATATGATTTTGAATCATATTTAAGTGTCTATTTTAAGTGTTGTTACTATTGTTATACAATGTATGTTGAAACTTATTATACAATGTGTATCTTTTATTATACAAGACTACAAATACTGAGTTATAGACGTTTCAATTTAACAAAAATTGAAATGAAAATAAAACTTACAACTTCTGCCGGACGGTAATACTTTGGACTGATTCTAACTCGAATTTTGTTAGAGATGTCATCAAAACCCACCTCATTAGCTCCTTTACCTTCCCATCTTCAGATTAACATAAACATAAAAATTTGTTATTTTTTACACTGCTGTTGCATTATTTTTTGGTTATTGTTATGTGAAACAAGGATATTGTTATATATTGAATAACATATTGAAATCTATTAAATAATATATTGAAATCTATTAAATAATATATTGAAATATATTGAATAACATATTGAAATCTATTAAATAATATATTGAAATCTTTAAATAATATATTGAAATATATTGAATAATATATTGAAATATATTGAATAATATATTGAAATATATTAAATAATATATTGTTATATATTGAATAATATATTGAAATATATTATATAATATATTGAAATATATTATATAATATATTGAAATATATTATATAATATATTGAAATATATTATATAATATATTGAAATATATTGAATAATATATTGAAATATATTGAATAATATATTCAAATATATTAAATAATATATTGTTATATATTGAATAATATATTGTTATATATTAAATATAATATTGAAATACATTATATAATATATTGAAATATATTATATAATATATTGAAATATATTATATAATATATTGAAATATATTATATAATATATTGAAATATATTATACAATATATTGAAATATATTAAACAATATATTGAAATATATATTGTTATATATTGAATACAAGGATATTGTTAGGTGATACAAGGATATTGTTAGATAATATAATGACATTAAAGCAGTTATGTGTTACTAGAATATTAAGTTTTTAAAGATCATATTAAAAAATAATGAATTTAAAATCAACCTGATTTTTACATTAACAAGACTAAATGCTTTTTCCACAAACTCTCTAACAGTATGTGTTTCGTTAGTTGCAATCACATAATCATCTGCAGATTCTTGTTGCAACATTAACCACATTGCCTATATACATTTAAAAAACAAAGTCAAGTCTGCAAAAAAAAAATTATTTAGATATTTTTGCTTTCTGTTATGGAAAGCGTAATAATTGATTAAAAAAGCATTGCTATATAAAAGCATTTTAAAAAAATGTAGCAATTAAACATAATGAAAGTATATAGCAAATTTATGAATTAGTGAATTTTTAGTTTCAATGTTGTTTATTTACAAAAAAAATCATAGTCTATTACATTTTTATTGGTCTTTAAAATTGATCATAGAAATAATGTTTCTTAGACGTTCTTTCTATAATGAATATATGTGCTGTAAGCAAAGATATTGTGAACAGCAAACTGTTTTAAAAAAATGAGTAGAATGTTTAAAATTTTTTACAGTTTACATTTAGGTGTTCTAACCTCCACAGGGAAAAAGAATTTACTTCTCTTACAGTAGTTGTTTTTTATTTTTTATTAAAAAAAAAATACTCTTTGAAACTGTAGCATAGTATGAACTTGTAACTTTATGTAAATAAATGTTAAACTTTACACAGCTGCCGCATGCGTATGAGAAAGTAAAATATGGTCAAAACTGTGTACAAACTGTTGCTAATTTAGCCCAGTTATTAAAATTGGCAATGCGAACCTGAACTTTTATACGTATGCATATATATATATGTATATATATATATATATATATATATATATATATATACATATATATATATATATACATATATATATATATATATATATATATATATATATATATATATATATACATATATATATATATATATATATTATATATATATATATATTTATATACATATATATTATATATATATATATATATATATATATATATATATATATATATATATATTATATATATATATTATATATATATATTATACATATATATTATACATATATATATATATATATATATATATATATATATATATATATATATATATATATACAAAATAGAAAGTGTATTATTATGGTATAATAATAATAATACAAATACTCTTGTGCGTTTAAGAGTGCTCAATACTATTAAATAATAATAGAGCAATATTTATTTATTTATATTAAATGAATAAAAACAACTTTTGATGGAACTCTGACAATGGCTGATGATTGCCCAAAGGCATGAAACTCAGAGTTCCATCAAAAGTTGTTTTTATTCATTTAATATAAATATATATATATATATATATATATATATATATATATATATATATATATATATATATATATATATATATATATATATATATATATATATATATATATATATATATATATATATATATATATATATATATATATATATATATATATATATATACATATATACACACACACACACACAAATATATATAAACATATATATATATATAAACAAACATATATTTTTTTCCTGGTGTTTTAATTTTTGTCTTACAACATTTACTAAACTTTGTAAGTAAGTAATACTTTCGACATGATTTTAAATCAAATCATCTCATCTTTTTTGACAAAAACTCACAACGAAGTTTTACTGAAAAATAACTAATGTTCCAATCAAAAGGTTGAAACAACATTATTCTGAAATAGCTCATGTGCACAAAATAAAAACGGAGTTTTGATTTAAAAAGGTCTGTCAACATCAAAGTAATTTTAGTTGCCTAATATTTTTGAATACTTAAATTTTAATTAACATACTTATTACCCCTAATGTATTTACAACACACAAAGATGTTTTTAAATATTACTAATGCTAACATTAATTAATAAAAAAATGAGCTAATAATAATTATAGTTTTTTAAACTGCTAAATAGGTTAATTATGTTCATTCATTGAAATTACTTCACAAATAAGAGGTTTTTTGAAAAAATTGAATAAAAAACAATTTAATGAAAAAATTAAATTAAAAAAAAAAAAAATTCAAAGAAGAATGATTTTAATTAACAATAGAAAATAATAATAAAATAAAAACTTTAATCAAGTATATAAAAAGCAACCATTGATTTTATTGTAAAATAAAATTAAAAAACGTGTAAAAATTGAATTAAAAGTATATCGTAAACAATAAAAATATTTTAAACGATTTTTCAAAATATTTCAGTCTAAAATATTATATATATTATAAATATTTATTATTTTAAAAATACATCTAGGTTGTTTTCAAATGCTTATTTTTTTTAAATAAAGATTTTTTTTAAAACTGGTCAACCTTGACCAGCAAGAACTCATTTTGGGATGTCTAAACAGCAATTTTAATCACTTTAGGGGGTCATTGACCGCAAATTATCTTGTGCGCTGATTATCTTGAATGCTGATGAATATACTTATAAAATTAAATTTTTAGTCATATTTTAGGAAAAACAAAATAAAAACAATACCTCAACATAATCTTTTGCATGCCCCCAATCTCGAACAGAGTCAATATTTCCAAGTACTAACTAAAATTATAAAAAATTTTTCATTATAATATTTCCAAGTACTAACTAAAATTATTAAAAAATTTTCATCATAATATCTCAGAAGATAATATCCAACTCAGCAAAACTTTTGATTAGCACTGTCATCAATTCAGAATTCACTAAAAAAGTTATTTGATAAAACATAAATGAAAAAGTTATTTGATATATATATAATGGTTTATTTGGTATTAATTGAGAAGCATGGTGCTAAAAGTACTTAAACCACAACGAGAAAATTTATATGAAACAAAATTCTTAAAAATAACTTTTATAAAGTAACTTATAAACAACACAGAAATTTGTGAAAAAAAAACTATTTTTAATTAGTCATTTGTGAAGAAAAAACTTAGTTTAAACAAAAACATCAGACAATAAATAAAATTTTAATAATAAAATATTATGTTAATATTTAAGAATCAGAATATTTAAAACCTCAGTTTTTCTCTCAGTTTTCACTTTAATAACAGCCTTATAAATTCTGACAGTATATAAAATATTACAACAGATATATAATATCTGATATAATATAATATAAGATATATTATTATAGATTTACACAGAATTAGTAAATGATTTGTCCTCTCATTAACATTAAACTGATCCTGTGAAGTGGGATTTTTTAGACATGATAAAGCCAACTTACCTAGGAGAAAAGAAAACTCAAATTTAATTGAATTAAATGGGTTGATAGAACTTATAAACCACAGATGGTAATCCTCCTAGTGGTATCAACACAAAAACTCAGCCCTGATCTGCAAAAACAGTTAAACACCAGGAAAAGCATCTAATTTGATAAATTGCAATAAATATTCCATAACGTCATACTTAAATAAAAAATTGGTATTAAAAAAATCTGTCTGCGCAAATGTGAAACCATGGACATTAAACTTAATTTAATAAAAACAAAACAACTCAACTGTGTTGCAAGCTTTTTTACTTTTTTTTTTACCAGAAAATTTATTGTTTTCACTTTAATGTTGAAACATTATGGAAGCATGGATTGCTAGCCAATGTGGATTAACATTATAGATAACTAGGATTAAATATTTATTTTTATCAAAATAGGGTTTTTATGACCTAAAAATGCTTAAAATATCTGAGTCTCACTTTTGACAACCCTGAGACTAAATGAATAGTATTACTAATGAGTGATATTTAACACTTTTCAAAAATTCCTGTCAATTTTTGTGAACCAGCATACACTTAAACATTGATAAACAAAGCTAATTACTCAATCTCAGTGTTTTCATTACAATACTAACACTAAAAGGATTATCATCCAAGGATTATAAACTCTTCCTAGCTCCTCACCCAAAATTAAAATTTAAAAAACATCTAATCTGTGCTAACACAGAAACAAGACAAGATCTTTATTTAAACAAGATCTTTATTTAAACAAGTTTAAATAAAGATGATAATGACGATCTTTTATTTTTCAATAACTTTTATTGGGTAATGTTTTCATGCATAAAAATTGTTTTATTTGTTTATATTTTAGTTTTCAATACTTAATTCCTATTGTAACATCTAATAGTTTTACTGCCATGGCAATATGACATTGTTACTGCATGGTTTTTAAACAAAATAATTGGAATCTTCAAAAAAAAAATTGTATTTTATACAAATCATCAATAAATTTTTTTTTCTTAAAAAAAAGTCAACATGTCAAGACATTATATGCCAATACACAAATCAAAAGTTTTATTAGTGAAAATACTAAAATCTACAGAAGCCACTATGGCTGAGCTACTAAGTTTGCCATACTATTGTGGTGCCAAAAACAAAAATATAAACAACCTCATCTTGTAAACCAAGATGTATTTTTGCAACAGCTCTGGTAATTTTTCTTGTAACAAATGTTTCTCCTAAAGAAAACATTTAGTAATTTAAATCAAGTGAGTTCAAAATAAAAAGAAAAATTTAGTATATATTAAAGAAACATTTTTCTTACCTCTTCTTGGACTTTCATGGTTAAACAAAATTCCATTACTTGCATGCAAACCATAAGCTTCACGATAGTTTGTTACAATCCAATAACCATAAAGTTTTGCAACTCCTTAAAAAAGTGCAACAATAAAAAATACTGTAACCAGCAGTAACAAAACAGTAATTGTTTTTTTCTGTACATTTTTATACAACATACCATATGGTGATCTTGGATGAAATGGAGTTGTTTCTTTTTGAGGTATTTCATGAACTTTACCATACAACTCACTCGTTGATGCCTAAAGCAAAAGGCTAAATATTTTCATAACACAATGGGGTGATAAGATTAGTGACAGGGGCCAAACCTCCTGCCAAAAATGGGACTCTTTACAAACCTGACCCTGACCTCAGCAAAATTTGCTGGGGTTGAAAGCCAGGGCTAGAAAAAACATTTTATATGTTATAAAATTATGCATACATTTACTATTTAATAAATACTGGCATATATACATATATATATATATATATATATATATATATATATATATATATATATATATATATATATATATATATATATATATATATATATATATATATATATATATATATATATATATATATATATATATATATATATATATATATATTTAAACTAATTCACTTCCAACAAGGTTGCAAACAACTACCATTAAGTTATGAGTTCTAGAAATAAAAGGATAGGGTTAAAGAACAAGGAAACGGTATACACAAGACTTGAAAGAAAAGGATGTGACTTTAATGAATGAGTCAAGCCAGAATGAATTTTTGTTGATTGGACTAGAGATGATAGCACGGTTGAGCAGCAACCATGATAGAATTTGTAGAAAAAAGAAAGAGATGCAACTGTACGACGATAAGAGAGTGGCTTAAGCTTGGTAGATAAAACAGATCCAACTACATTACATAGTGACATTAAACTTGTTTGAGAGTGAGAGGGTTATTTGTCAATATAGGAATGTCAACAATATCGGAACCACTTATTTAGCACTTATTAATAGTTTAGCAAGAATTGAAGAGAATTCTGGAGAACACTTTTGTGACTGAACTACAAGCTGTAGAAGGTTTTAATCGAGAATCAACTTTAGCATTGGAAGCTGGAGTGATTTGGATGTCTAAAAATAGATTAATCTGTTTTATTGGAATTGCAGGAAGAGTATGGCCATTAGATTCAAGAGTCAAATTAGAGGAAATACTCTTTGCAAATAACTCTGAAAATAAAAAAAAGATTGTACACAAATTAGAGATGGAATGTTAGACTGTTAAAGATTTTCCAAAACTCAAAGAACCTAATATCTGAGATAAGAAAGAAGATTTAGAAAACTGAGAGTAACAGACCTTAGCACCAGACAGGACCTTTTTATATTGATTTTCTGCAACAATAAAAAAACATTAGAAATGTTTTTGTAATAAAGGTGAAAAAAATGATTACAATTTAATATAGTAACTGCAAAAAAAGATTAAAAACATGGAGTAAAATGAGAATTGACTTAAAACTGGAAAGAAGGAATAAAATTTTCTATACCAGCTAAAATCCAGGAGGTTAGGTAAGAAACGCATTTATGCATACAGAATATGGATATATATGGATATAAACATGTTTGCTATTTATTTAGATGCTAGCATACAATATCCAAATGCATTTATATAAACTTTAGTATTTATATGCAAGCCTTTCCAGGAAAGGCGTGGGGTTTTTCGCCTTGTATGACCACACACGAGAATATTATTTTAGACAACTTGAACACGGCCGTTTGCAAGTTTTATAATAATGCTGAAAAAGTTTCAAAAACAAAAAAAAACAAAACTAACAAAATAAAATAAGATTGAAATAGAAAAAAATAAAAACAAATTAATAATTTAAATAATTTGTGTACTGTTTTTATTTTTGTTTCTTTAGAGTAATTGTTACATTCAGCAACAAAATTAGATAAGGCGAAGCAAAAAAAAAAAACAGTTTGAAGACTTCAATAAAAAGAATGATTTTCCGTTCCTTAATTTTTTTTAAGAGGATAGCAAAAATTCAAATTGCAAATGTAAAATTTATTTGCATAATTTTAATGTAACAACAAGGGTTGAATTAAGCAAATGCGAAACGCAAAATCTGGAAAAATATCTAGTATTCAAAATTTTAGTTTATACAAAACCGTGTTCCTTGTTTTTAAGGGGAGAATCAACTTAAATTTGTTAGCAAAAAAATAAAAAATAAAACAATAAACTTACGACTACAAAAGTAATAACACTCTAGTCACTAACTTAATTTTAAAATTAACCAATAAAAATTTTTTAAATTTGTTAGCGAAAAAATAAAACAATAAACTTATGATTGCAAAAGTAATAACACTCTAGTCACTAACTGCATTACAAAAGTAATAACACTATAATAGTGTTATTACTTTTATAACGCACTTATAACTTTTAAAATTCATTCTTTGTTCAAGCAACATTAGTATTCCCAAATTTTAATTGAAGTAGAAAAATATCTAGAAGAATAAAGTGGATGTTCAAATAATATTAAAACTTGAAAAACTTATAAAAATGTTAATTTAATTTTATGTTAATTAATTTTAAAATTAACCAATTTAAATTTTTTATTGGTTGATTTTAAAATCATTGCGCGTTTTTACGTAACGTTTTTCATGCTATACTTTTTATAAAGTACTTTCTTATAACGTTGTTTAAGTGGTCTGTGAAAATTCCTAAAACTTTTAACAATATTTGAATATCCGCTTTATTTTTTCTAGATGCTTTTCTACTTTAATAAATGTTTGAAATTAATAATGTTGTTTGAACAAAGAATGAACTTTAAAAGTAATAAGTGCTTTATAAACATAATAACACTATTATAGTTTTATTACTTTTATAATGCAGTTAGTGACTAAAGTGTTATTTCTTTTGTATTCGTAAGTTTATTGTTTTTGTTTTGTTTTTTGTAACTTTCTCGCTAGCAAACTTTTAACAATTTTTTCAAAAGACCTAATATTTTTACCAGAGTTTGCAAATCGCGATCGTATAATTTAACTTTTTGATATAAACTTGTTACATTATAGTTATAAAAATATATTTTACAAACAGATGACGATACATATTTTCTCTTTCCTCTTTAAAAGAAAAAACACATAAAATATGGGAAAGTCATCCTTTTTAACGCCTAAAACCATTTTTTTTTTTTGCTTTGACTTACTGAATTTTGTTGCCGATAATCACTAAGAAAAAATAAAAATAAAAACAACACACAAATAATTTAAACTATTATTATTGTTTTCTATTTATATTCAATTTAATTTCTTATGTAGTTATTAAATTTAAAACATTTTTTCAGCAACGCATATAAATAAAATTTCTGCAAACGGCTGTGATCACGTTCTCTAACTTGAAAAACATTTTTGTGGTCGTACGAGACGAAAAACCGCACGCCTTTCCTGTGAAGGCTTGATATGGTACAATATTTGCCGAAAGAGAAGATAATGATCAGATGGATGTGTAGTATGACTCTAATAAGACAAGAAAAAGAGCCATAATTTTAAACAGAGCGTTGTATTGAACAACTTTTGTCAGAGAAGATTAAAGTGGTTTAGATAGCAGCATGTAGAGAGGTAGCAGCAAAAGGCAAAAATGGTAGAGATAGAAGTAATAAAACTTGGAGAGAGTGCGTTACAACTGCTATGAACCAGCTTTAGTTAATGAAAGAAGATACTCAAGATGATGACGATCATCTTGTCAACTCCAACTTCTAATATACACAACATTGAATTTTCTTTCTCTGTTGCATGCTTGGATAAGGTGTTTTGAATGTTTATTACACATTTCTTTCACTTTCTTACTTGAAATAAAAAAGGGTAAAATCATGAAAATGACAAAGAAACAAAAAAAAAAGAACAATCATACAAAATAAACTTATTGAAGAATTAGGCTTACGAGTAGATTTAGGTAAGGTGGTTCTGGAGCTTCAAATGATGGTTACACTGCCATATGAGTATTTAAACATTTTCATTTACTTTCTTCTATTACAGTCATAGAGAACTAATAAAATGTTTAGCAAACATTTTTAACATAATAAATTTAAAATTTGAGATAGATACAATAAAATTTAGTGAAAATTGCACTAAAAGAGCAAACCTTTATTGTAAAAAATATAATTGGTTTCATATGCCTGCATCTATGCATGAATTATTCCTTTTTAGTTCTGAAACAATTTCAAAGTTCTTGTTGCCAATTGGATTTTATTCAGAAGAAGCTCAAGAATTTAGATATAAAGATAATAAGCAATTCAGACTTCACCACTCAAGAAAAGATACAAGACTCCATACAATTGAGGACTAACTTTACTATCTTTTTATTACAAGTGATCTAATAATATCAACTATAATAATTTCTCAAGATAGTAAAGTTAAAAAAATTCAATTATCAAAGAGTGCTCGAGAACTTGTTAAAAAATCTAACAAAAATACCATTGATGAAATCCAAAGTGATAATGAAACTGAATATAAGTACAATAAGTATGACAATGAAGACAAAGGATGGAAAATTATGAATTAGTTACTGACGAAAGAGATCATGAAGATGTTTATGAAAATAATGAATTGGACAATGATGCTGATATACTTACTTTTTTTGCTTATTTTTCAATTTAGGAGTAATATTAAATGTATAGATCATGTTAACTAATTATTTTTGATATTTATATTTGGTTTTAAAATAATTATTAGTTTAAAACAAAATTAGTTGAAATTATTTAGAAGCAAGGGGGTAAGACGCTACAAAAAATATCACTTCCACCACTGACCATATTTGAAAAATTTTTAGTCTTCTTTTCCTGTCTACTTTTTTTTTTTATATCTTAGAGCAAATTTTCAGCAATTTTGAATATTTTTAACAAAATTAATTTTGGCTTAATTTTAAGTTATTCCTGATCACTGAGCAACAGCAAGCAGTTTTTAGATTGTTAACTACTTCATTAAAATAAAAATAAACTACCTGATTAAAATACTGTTTAAAAATACCTATAGAGTTATTTAAATATTATCAAACAAAAAAGTTTTTAGCTCAATGTAAATAGAAATGTAATATATATATATATATATATATATATATATATATATATATATATATATATATATATATATATATATATATATATATATATATATATATATATATATATACTCACACATTAAAAGAACATTTAGATCAAAAATCTGATATCATACTGATGTATACAAGTATTATATATGTAAAAATTAATAAATTTTTAACAGTCAGAAATTACTATTATTTATAGATCACTAAGTTAAAACTACAAAATATTTCAAAAACTTGTTTTTATATTTGTACATTTTAAAAAAAATTTTACCTGATAAAACCTGACTTCACCAATCAAGTTACAAATCTTTACAGCTTCTAATAGTCGCAAGGTTCCCATAGCATCTGCATCAGCAGTGTATTCAGCCAAGTCAAAGGAAACCTAAGTTATATATCTTTTAAGATATAGTTAAAATTTCAAATGATTGAAAATCTTTTATGATAGTTGCATTTGGCAAAAAAATGTAACTATAATATATTAAATCAATTAACAATATTTTTTTATTTAACTATTGCAATCAATAAATATTTATTTTAATGTTTACCTTTACATGACTCTGAGCAGCTAAGTTATAAATCTCTGTTGGTCTAGTCTGTGCATAAAATTACAAAAAAAAAAAAAAAAAAAAAATTAAATTATTTTATTTTACTATCTAACCACTTAGACCTCTATACCTAAACATATCACTGCTTTCATAGCTTATAACAAGAAATATATATTTTTAGCAGTTTACTATTTTATAATGTTTACTGAAATTATTTTCCACTATGATAACAAACCATTATTTGTAGGTATCATCACTAGAATACATTTAAACATCATTTTTATATAGGAGATTTTTCTTCTCTCCTAATGATTAATTATTAAAGTAACATAAATAAAATGATTATAATTTTGCTTATAACCTGAAATAAATTTTTTTACCTGACTGACAATGTTTAGTAAACAGGAAGAATCTGTTAGATCACCATAGTGCAAATGCATATCTAAATATTTTTATAATTATAAATAACAAAACAATACAAATTACAAACAAGTACATGACCAAGAGTTCTTTAAGATTTTAGGATCAACGTTTTTATTGATTTTTTCTATTGGTTTAAATAAGATTATTTCTCAGTTCTCTAAAAAGTTTTTCACGAAAAAAATCCATTTAATTTTCCATGTTTTTAATAATCCATGTTTTTCACGAAAAAAAATCCATTTAATTTTCCTAATTTTGATAACCAGTTATACAGTAAATGACAGTGTCAATTAATTTTTTTAATAAACATTTAAATAAACTTTATTTAGAAATAAACTTTATTTATAAAATTTATTTGTTAAACTTTATTACACTTTTGAGGAAAATTAAGAAGGTGCATCACTATCATCATTAATATCATAAATATGATCATCATTATCATAAATACAAAACATAAAAAAAAAAAATCTCACTTCCTCCAATGTGTCCTGCTTTGTCTTTGTATAGATGCTGAATACGCCCAGTATTAAATGAACTTGAACGACGTATTATGCCATGAACTTCATAACCTTTTTCAAGTAAATATTCACACAAGTATGATCCATCCTATAAAAAAAACATGACAAAAATTTATTCTGTACACTAATATCCTAATACATTACTTGTCAGACTCTGATATAACGAACAAATGTTTAATAAACTAGAGACAAAAAACTACAGTTTAAATATCATTAAAAAACATTTTGAAGTTTTTTGAATTAAATTTGTTTGTTTTTTTATTTATAATTCAAACATATTTCAAAGAAAATGGGGAAAAACCTCCAAAAATTGAATAATATCATTTACCTGTCCAGTTATTCCAGTAATAAGTGCAACCTTTCGTGTATTTGTTGAAGATGACATTTTGTTGAATTAATATTATTTAAATAACAAGCTAAAAATACAAACTTTTTATGGTGATTACTTTTTATAGTGATTTCTCAGTGGCTTCTTGTTTGTCGAGGTTTGTGTTTCAAGGTTATAAGATTGAGATAAGGTTGAAAGGTTGAAAAAAAAGATTGAAAGAAAGTTTTTGGATGCACAAGCCTTAGGAAAGCTAATAAAGTCAATAACCTGATTGTCATTTATTCATTGACCTGATTGACACTTAATGAAAGACCTAATTGCCACTCAGTTTACTTGTCAGTTACTTTACATAGCTGTCACTCACTTAACATAATTGTCAATCACTTTACATAACTGTCACTCATTTAATATCACAACTGCTACTAAGTTTAATAATAATAATAGTCACTCATTTATTTACCTATAGATATAAACTGGAGAACTGTATTTTTTTAATGATTTTGTGCATTCATTTGAAAATGGCTATGCATATATACAAACATGCATTATAAGCATAATAACCCACAATACATTAAAAGTATAATAACCCACAATATGCTTATATAAAAGCATAATAACCCACAATGCATTAAAAGCATAATAACGTACAATATGCTTACATAAAAACTTGAAAGATACAAAAGTATTAGGGGGAAAAAATTCACATTTTAAATTATTTATTTTAACTAATTTAAATTTAAATTTATCTAAATTTTTGTTAAAATTTTTTAACAAAAAACAAAACTTTAGGATATAAATTTTAAAGGGAAAATTATAAAAGTAAAAAGAAAAACAAAACAAAAAATGTAAGAACTTGTAACAAAATTTCAAAATACAAATAAAATAGTAATTTATTAAAAAAATTATTAAAAAATTTGTAAAAATGTACAAAAATAAATAACACAATTTACATTATAAAAACTACAAAAGCAAATAAATAACATGGCAGCCACAAAGTTGTTATAAACCATTTATAATAAATATGAGAACAGATAATCTGTTGTTTATCAACTCTTTGTTAACGATTTAAAAAAAATAAAAATATATATATATACTCAATAAAATTTCAGTTATAAAATTTGTTTAAAAAAAAAAAAAAATCATGCAGGATTGATGTCATTCCATAAGACTTTTTGTTGATTTTGTTCAATACAGTGTTTAATATCATTACATAAGTTTGATAATCCAGATGTACAATTTATAATTGCTGGAATGGAAAAATATATAATTTATAGGTGTGTGTGTTTGTTTATATATATATATATATATATATATATATATATATATATATATATATATATATATATATACACACGTATATATATATATATATATATATATATATATATATATATATATATATATATATATATATATATATATATATATATATATATATATATATATATATATATACGTATATATATATATATATATATATATATATATATATATATATATATATATATATATATATATATATATATATATATATGTATATATGCATATATATATATATATATATATATATATATATATATATATATATGTATATATATATATATATATATATGCATATATACGTCAAGCATTCTCAGGAATACCTATTAAAAAAACGAATTTGTATGAGTGGTATTATAAATACCACTCATACAAATTCATTTTTTTGAACTTGGCCATGGTATTTTGCATATATTAATAATATGCATGTTTTAAAAAATACGCTGAAAAAACCAAACTAATATAAAGAGAAAATTAAAAATAAACAAACCATAAACTGAAAAAAGAAACGAACCTAACAAATGATAAAATAAATAAAGGATAAAGAAGAGAAAATTAAAGAATAAAACTAATATATTTTTAAATTTAGAAGCATCTCAATTATTAGTTCAAATTTAATTAATTTAAAAGCGTTTCAATTAACAATTTTAAGGTTTTGATTTTCATTATAATGCAACATTTATGTAGCACTTAGTTTGATTAACTGTGTTAATTAAGAGGTGCCACTGTTATATTGGCATTGAGCAAGGGTTCAAATCCTACTAACAGATAATTTTATTTTTCAATTTTTTGAAATTTGGCTTTGTAGACATTAAAAAATATCAAGTTTCAAATTTCTAAATAAGTTTGGAAGTAATTAAGCTTATATTTAATAACATTGAAACTTTGATTTTTTCTAAATTCTTTGTAGTGAAACACTTAAATAAAAATAAAAACATTAATTTCATCTTTTATTTTTCTTGTTTATTTTTTATTCATTTTATCATTCGTATATTTTTTAATTTTTTTAGTTGAGTATTTATTTTTTTTAGTTTTATTTTTTAGTTGATTTTTTTTTTTACATTTGTTTATTCAGCACATTTTTTAAAATGGGGTAATTTAAAATGTGCAAGGAACTGTGGCCAAGTTGTCAAAACAAAATATTATATGCGTGGTCATATAAGGCATGCAACCACACATGTCTCCTGAGAAGACTTGATATATATATACACAAACATATTGGCGAAAGAAAAAAAAAAGTAAACAGTATAAAAAAAAAGTGAACAGTAAAAAACATTATTTAATGCGTAAGGAATGACATATTCTTATATATCTTAAGTAGTTTATTTTTATGAGTATATATTTAAAAAAATATGTTTCAAAATTTATATAAAATGTTTTTTATATATTTTAAAATTTTTTATATATTTTAAAAAATATGTTTCAAAATTTATATAAAATGTTTATCAAATTTCCTTTAACAATATTAAACTTTTTTTTTAAAATAAATTAGTTACTGTTCACTTTTTTTTGTTCGCCAGTATCCAAAAACTGATCTAAAAGTATAACTATAAATATAGAGCAAATATATTACATCAAGGAAAAGATAAATCAGGGAGAAAGTCTTTTTTTAATGTTTTGAAATAAAAATTTTTAATTAAAACTCATACCAGTAAATAATTTGTTGTAATCTTTCTCAATAATAGAAAAATTGTCAAACATTTCTCTTGCTGTTTTGGTTGGTATTTTATCTTTGATGTAGTGACCATCTTTTAATTCTCTAAACAAAATTATAATAACACATAAAGCTTGAAAATCAATGATATGAATATCAAAGGAAATTTATTTTTTACATATTTAATATAAGGAGTGTATCTAGGAGGGGCAGGGGGGAAGAATAGCAAGTGGGTGCAAATTTGTAAGCGAGTGGGAGCAAGGTGGTATACTTTTAGGCTATACTTTTTAGACATAATAATTAATTTTAGACATACAACTATTTTTCCTCATTATCAAGTTGAGGTTGAAATGTATGGTCAAAAACCTCTTAAACGTTTTATTAAATGCAATAAAAAGTATACATGATTATAAACATATATATTTACAACTTGTTAATAAAACAAATATATACATCAAAGGTTTTTTTTTTTTTTTTTTTTTTTTTTTTTTTTTTTTTTTTTTTTTTTTTTTGTAAAATTTTTTTGTGTTTTGTGTTTTATTTTTATAAAAAGTTGCATTTATAGGTGTATTAACTTATGCTATCTTTTTTTTTTACTGCCTAATTTAAATATGGCATCTGATTGTAAAAATATTACCCATCAATAATTTGTTTTGATTACAATTATTTATTTTTATTAATTTATATATATATATATTAATATTATTAATTTAAAAAACTATTTATTTACAAAAAACTTAGTTTATCAAATGATTTATTTAAAAATAAACAAAAACTTACTTGATTTGTTTAGCAGACTTGTATTTGATAAAGATAATAATTGGGTAGAGCTTCAATGGTGCTAGTTTTTCAATGCTTGATGGATTGATGTCAAGCAAGCAGTGCTTTAACTGAAAAAAAATTAAATTAAAATAATTCTTTAGTTATATTAATTCATTTGGCACATAAATTATGCATATATTAACAATAAAATAACACATTAGAATACAATTTGACATAAGGTTTGTGTATATTATCACTAAAGTTAGACAAAAAAGCCCATATGAAACACAAAGTATACATATTAAACAAATAGAAGAAACCACTTTGACACCCATAAAAAGACACAAAATGCACCCATAAAAAATCATTTACACACATAGCATACAAAACAATAGGAAATAACAATCTATTTGGCACATAAAGAATATGTCTTGCACTGACCAAATTATAAGCACTTTGTTCTAATAATTTTTTAACAGATACATGATACATGCATCTATAAAATACAGGAAATAATAATATTATGGATCGTTACTTTTCCGAAGACAACATCTTTGATAGATTGTGGTGTTATACATTCATAGCGATCAATTTTTCTTGTCATTTTATAATCAATATACTTTCCATCAGCAACACATCGATCAATTGTATGCTTTGAAGAAGTGCATATTTCTGCATTATTTAAAAATCATTTATATAACTTTTTGTATTATAAAAAAAATATCTTAACTATTAAAAATTATTTTAAAACACTAAAAAGAAAATTAAATGTTTATCAAACAAAACTTAAAGATACAAACCAGGTAAACAACGAGAAAATAAGGCAGCTGATTCCATAACAAGTTTGTCACAAATTGCCTCAGTCATGGCACCAACAACAACAACTGGTCGAGGAAAAGATGAGTCGTGTTTTTTCACAAACTTATAAGTACCTGAGCCTTAAAAAAAATACTTCTTAAACACAACTAAAACAATAAAATGATTTGAAGTTTGTTATCATTTAAAAACAAAGAAAAAAAAAAACACATAAATAAAAACTACATAAATATAATGCAAAAAAATTTACTAAAAGAATTTGATAAAGTCAAGCTGATAGGAGCATATTCACTTTCAGGTCTTGAATCACTACTCTCCCTTGAATGGTTGGCTGAATGACCATGTGTACTTTTTTTGCTACGACGAAATAAACTTTTACGACCTTTTAATTTGTCATCATTATATGATGATGTGCGATGTAGTAACAACTCTTGTTCAGCACTATGACAAATCAATTTTAATAGCGTTAATAACAATAAATAATAAGAATTGCGAACAATAATAAATAATGATAACTCTACTAAAGGCCTCACACTCAACTATAATATAATATTTAAAAATCAAATAAAAATTTAACAAAATTAAATTAACAACATCTAGAATACTTTTCAGTGCTCGGGATAGTTCCTTCAACTTCTTTGTTGTTTTCACCTTGCTCAATTTTTGCATACCAAACACCAAGCTGTCCTTTGTAGAGAGTGGATTTTACTAATAAAATATCGCCTTTTTTAAATGAAAGGTCCCCTTTTGTAGTTGAAGAATGATCAAACAAAGCTCTAAAAAAATTTTACATAAAAATTAAAATATAACCAAATTATTAATATATATATATATATATATATATATATATATATATATATATATATATATATATATATATATATATATATATATATATATATATATATTTACATACATAAATGAAGGCCCTTAAGCACAGCACAGGTCCCTAATATTATTAAAAATATCAAATTAACCTAGATCTTTTTTTTTTTTTTTTTCCTTTTTTAAATCAAAAATTACTTTTTTCTAAATTGGTATTTTATAATTATAATTAAATTTATTATAATCTAATAATTTTTATAAACTTTATAATTTTGTTTCCTTAAAGACCCAGGTAACTTATTTTAAAATTTGCTAATGATTTTGTGATGTGTCCTTAATATTGAATAATATTAAGAACACACAACAGAAATGTTTATAGGTCATGAAAAATATTCATTTTTTTTAATAAATAATTTTAATAGTAAATATTTAAATTTTTAAATGTGCTATTTTACTATATAAAACACTTTATAGAATATTATATAAAACAATACACAAAGAATAAGATTTTTTAAACAGACATTTTCAAAAAATGTTGTTTAACTGGCATTCTACTGATGAAGTCGTACTAATATAGAGATCAGCAGGGATAATTAAACATATCAATTGACAATGAGATCTATTAAAAAAAAATTTTTTGAACAATTTTTTTCCTGTTGACACTTACTGAATATAGAAATGATCTCCTTGCTCAACTTGCGCACGTAAAAATCCTGCATTAAATAAAATTATCAACATAAATTTTTTTATTTTTAAATATAAAAATATACAGCAAAAACAAATAAAAACAAAAAGACCTAATAAATTTAACTGATTGGTCTTTTTATAATTAAACAATATTAAAATATTAATATTCCAAAAAAATCTTCTAAATAGGATAGCTGCAAAAGCAAATTAGAACCTAATAAAAACCAACAAAAAAAAAAAGATAAAAAAAAACAACCTCCTGAATTTGATTTCACATAAAAATCGGCAACATCAGATGGTTTAAATAATTCTAATGTTGCTTCTTCCAGCGTCATTGTTAACATTGATTTTCCATTGTACTAAAACATAAACATTAAAATTTAAATGAATTCACTAAAATTTATATGTATCAAAAATAATTTAAATATTATACATTCATTTAAATATTTAATAATTAAATATTTGTTAATAGGTTTAAAATTTTAACTTTTTTAATAAACTTTTTTAAATAAAATTTAAAAAAAAGTTTCAAAAAACTGCTATTCACATGTGTCCTTTTTAAAAAAGATTAAAAAAATTAGAAACATCAAAAAATATTTTAAATTTAATAAAATTAAAAAAATATGAGGATAAATGAATTAACATAAAATTTAAAATTCTGCCAAGAGTTTAACAAGCGCTTAATGGTGCCAAATAGTATAGATTGTGGATGTATACCTCTAAAATTTGATCTCCACATCTCAAACCTGACTGCAAAAATCCTAAGCTTTCTTTTTTGATATCAGATACAAAAATGCCAACAGTGTTCCCACCAATAATTTCAATACCTAGATGTGCTGTGTTGGGCTGCCTTACAATATGAATAAGACGAGCTTCCTCATCTTCTGCAATTGGCGCACTAAAGTTAAAATGATTTTGAATTAAAACTTTAATTTAAAGTAAAACATAGTTATACTTGAAGAAGTGTTTATTCCCCCACAAACTTTCATTATCTATATCAATGCTGCCATCATTTCATTACCTTTATCATTTCATTATCATTATCATTTCATTATCTTTATTGTCGCTGCCTTCCTTATCATTATCATCATCATCATCACCATCATTATCATCATCATCATCATCATCACCACCACCACCATCATCATCACCATCATCATCATCATCATCATCATCATCATCATCATCATCATCATCATCATCATCATCATCATCATCATCATCATCATCACCACCATCATCATCATCATCATCATCATCATCATCATCATCATCATCATCATCATCATCATTATTATCATCAGCTCCCAACTATAATTTTCTTTCAACATACTATTTAAGCTCATCATCTTGAATCTTAGATTGGTCAGAAGGTAAACAAGCACTTGCTGCTTTATAGCTGTAATAACTCGAGTCCTGCTGTTGACTCTTAGAAGGAAAATTAGATGCAGCCGAACTTGATGAGTATCCACGATGCAATACTGGTGACATTAACGGTGAATTGGATTCAATATGGCTATGAAAAGACACAACACACATACAACTTAATAAAAAAAGATTTAAAAAAAAATTCAAATAACTGTAAAAAACTTTATTTAACTTACTTTATATTAATATATATATATAATTACAAGAAAGCATTTATAAACTAAAAAAAAGCGATAATATTTCCCGGCTAGTACATGAATAACTTGTAAAGTTTTGCATACCTAGTGAGTTTATAAAGTTAAAAAATAAAAATAAATCAGTTCTAGATAAATAAAAAAATTCTATATACGTGTTTGCAAAAATTACAATTTAATTATAAATATTGGAACTTAAAAAGATTTTAAATAGTATATCAAAAAAAAAAAAAAACAGAAATATTTGTTATTACGAGTAAACAAATAGGTGATTCTTAAAACTTTTGATGCAAAAAAAAAAAAAAAATTCAAAGCTGTCAATGTAATAAAAGTTATCTCAATATTATCATTACTCATGGTATTTATTATCACATCATGAGATATCTATATCTCATGATGTAATAGACATATTTATATAATATTATATTTTTATTTACTATTGATATGTTATTGTGTTACCAAAAATGTCACTTAAATATTTCCTGATAAACTAGTTAAACATTTTTCAGGATGTAACCAAAAATAAAAAATTAACTTACCTAAAAAAAGCTTTAATAATATTTATCAACTTTTTTGTTTTTAATTTACTATTAAACTAACTTTAGTTTACTAGTTAACTTTAGATGTATAACAAAGAACTAACTTGATAATTTAGAATGACAGGTAGAGAGTGGTCACCTGATTCAAAAGTCAAATTTAAGGAAAAATTATTTGCAATTAGTTCTTATTTTTAGGAGAGGTAACAAGATCAGACTGTGTATAAGAGTTAGACTTGCCTTCTAATAACACTGTTAATAATTTTCCAAAAGTATCTAAGATTTAACTTTAGAAATCAAACGAGATATCTGAAAATAATGGATATTATAATCAGATAATGACTTTATAAATCAATTTCTTGCAACCATAAAAAAAAGGTTTGTTTTCAAAACAGTTGATCTAGTGCAAAGCTTCTTAAACTATAGGTCGCAAACCCAATTGGGTTTTTCGCTTCAGGAAATATAGAATTGCAAGATTTAATCTAAAATAGGGTCACAAGAATAATCTAAAATGCATGAACTTGTATAATTATGTATTTTTTCATATGTAAGTCTATTGTTACCAATAATTGTAATCAATCTATTGTAATCAATAAATAATCACAAAATATTTAATTTTTTTATTATACATTTATCTTGGGTCACGAAAAAACTTCAAATCATAAATGAGGTCGCGTATTAAAAGTTTAACAAGCCCTGATCTAGTAAAAAAGATGAAAGAAAGAAATTATAAAAAAGAAAGAAAAAAAGAGTAGAGTGAGACTCAAAATAAAAGCAACAAGAGTGTAAAAACATCAATCTAGAACAAAAATTTTCTTTTTTTATTCTCTATTAATGCTAATTGGCTTTTCTTATTTATCAATAAATAATAAACTTTTATTTTAGATTTACGTCTAAAATAATGACACATTTATATAAGTAGCAATTAGTATTGATGTCGATGCTACTTACATAAATAGTTTCTGTTATATTTCTTCACTTTAAGAAATACTAATATTTAAAAAAAACTATTTTAATCTTAATCACATCCCTTATAAGTATTTATATGTGCTTTTACAAGTATAGCTATTTTTATATGTGCTTTTATAAGTGTATCTACAAGTACAGCTTTATTTTTATTTTTTAAGTTGTCATTTTAACCCTCTTTTACCTCTTCAGCTCCGAAACACAAGCCTTGACAAACAAGGCTGCTAAGCGAAGAAACAAGTTAAGCACAATAGTAAAAGGGACTAGTAAGGAACCTCTCACTTACACTGCACAACATAATGATAAGACACCACAAAAATATTTGTAAAACTCTACTATACATTTATATTTAAAAATTAATTTTTATAGTAAATGAGAGAAAAGGGTTTACCTAATTTGCATTTCATTATAAAAAAAAAAAGGGATTTTTTAGTGAGACAAAATTATAAGACATTTAAAAAAATTTATAAAAATTGTCTTTTATAAAAAAAGACGTCTCAATTTTTAAAAATCAATAGTGGGTACTTTTACTATTTTTTTGAATCACTTCAATCATTCTGGAAGGTAAAGAATCGTACAACTTTTTTTATGTACGAAATGTCAATTGCATCGCATGCAGATGCAATGGATGATTTTAAGTCAGCTAGTGAACTATATTGTTTACCACCTTCAAACACTATGTGACAGCTGTACCCAAACATTCTCAATAATGTTCAGGTCTGGAGATCTAGTTGGCTACTTCCATGTTTTGATTTTACTGCTGCTGAAATAATCCTTTACTATATTAGCTGTTTGAAAGCTAGCATTATTTTGTTGAAAAACAAAATTCTTACCACCAATGACATAAGCTTCACACTGTAAAAATTCTTGAACAATTAAAAGATAATCCTTAGCCTTCATTTTTCCGCCGTTAAAATGAATTTTTGATTTATCATGATACCCAACCGCACACCAAATTATTACACTACAACCACCCATTTGACAACGTTGTTGTGTTACTGGTTCTTTACGCAAATCATGAAAATAATAATTCCATCTATCAAAATTGTTTTCCCATCAAGATCAAATTAGCAAATAGGCCTGCTTCTGCAGCAACTTGATGTTCAGTTAATGAAGAATTTAAAGCTTGTCTTAACAGCCTTCCCTTATCAGGGTCACTTAATGTTGATGGACACCCGGGACTTTTTTTTATTCCATACATATGAGGACTATTAACAAAAAACTATTAAGTTTTTAATCACAGCTCAGCTGCGTCCAATAGCTCTAGCCATGTAACTAACAGAGTGACCCATTTTCGATAAGTTAGAGAGCAATTTTTTCTCATCTTGACTCAACGGTGCAGCATGACCCATTATTAATTAATTTTCAATTTTATAAAAAAAACCTAAATTAAATTTTTGACAGTTCACAAAGGTTTACAGTTAAATAATCGCCTGTGGTGTTTACATAAAATAAATATACGTAATTGTCCAAAACTGCAGTTTGTAACATTTTTTGTAAAATTGTCTTATAATTTTGTTGCACTGAAAAAAGGTTGTTTTTATAAAATAAAATGCGAGTTCTGTTTAAAATAAATTTGTTAAAAGGTTGCTTCATGTTGTAAACCCTTGCTTTCATTTACAATAAAAATTAGCTTTTAAATATAAATGTATAGTAGAGTTTTATAAATATTTTTGGGGCGTCTTATCATTATGTCGCACAGTGTATAAAGTTCTGCTACTACTGCATATATATGGCACTTTTATTACACTGATCTTTTACAGCTGGAATCAGCCTTTTTGAGAGCTACTACAGAGATTGAGAAAACTAAAAGAGTTAGGAAGACACTAACAAGGAGGTGCAACCAATAACCTATGAATAAATTCAAGAATGCCCAACATTCATCATCTACTTTCTGCATACCTTTAAAGTCAATCTACAAGAAGTAGCCAAAAGACCTTAAACAAGACAGTAGCTAGTTGCAGTTAACATCTGCTCAAAATGAATCTTTTTATTGAGATTTTTTAAATTTTATTTTATATGTTAATTCACCTCTAGATGGCCAGAGTCAAATCGACTATAATTGTGGTTACAACCCTATCTCAACTCTATAACTCCAAAACACAAACCTTGATAAACAAGGCCCCTGCGCGGAGAAAAAAGTTGAGCGCAGTTTTACCAGAGTTAGGATCATTAGAAGCGCTCTACCACTACACCACATAAAATATTATGGTAGAGTGTTTGAGTAAAGATACCATCTTTACTCAACCAAGACCCCCAAGGTATTTTAAGTCAGAACTATCTTCTGCTAGCCTTTGCATAGAAAAGAAAAGTCTACAAAGCAATAGGACACATAACAGGTTTTACTGGATTATAAGTTACCAAAATTTAGGGGAATCATAATGATCCTGATTAGAGAAAAATTATTAAAGATATCTTGACATCACATCAAGATATATTCTAATTCTTTATAAGAGACATACCCTAATTATTTATAGAAGATTTATTAAAAGTTATATCAAAAGACTTTATAAAAGATCAGTGCTAAAAAAAGAAATTTATTTTAATAATAACATAGTAAATAAAACAGAAAAATAAAAATAGTAAATAAAATAGTAAATAAAAAATTTCTTACCTTAACAAATCTTGTATTCCTAAAACATATTTTATGTAAGTATTCAAGTTTTGTTAAAACTAAGTCACTTCAAAATTAAAAAAAAGTTTTTCCCAAATGCATCCTGGGTGCTTATTTGTTCTAACTTAATTTTTATATGGTAAAAAAATAATTTTATTACTTGATAAATAAAAATTATTAAACCTTTTTAGTTTTTTTTTTTTTTTAAATAATTACTTGAATTTACTGCAATTTAGATATTTAGTAGTAATATAAAAAAACTGAAAAAATAAGTCTAAACAATTATTAATGTTAATAGTTATTTTTTAATTTTAACCTAATATTATAAAAAAGGGAACAAATAATCACTCAGGTCACTTGGATTGAATAGTTTAATTTGGTTATTTTAACATGGTTTATAAATTACTTAAACTATTGGTGAACCTACTGTGAGGATTATACTGCACTCTGACTGTCACAGTATTTTCGATTGCAGATTGTTTCAAAATCCATTCTGCCTGTTCATAAGATGCCATTCGTAGGTTTATACCATTGTACTAAAATAATAAATAATTTTACTGCAAATAATTTAATATATTAATTTTACCAATCAATAGTAATAAAATTAATAGGCCAATCAAAATCATTTAAATTATAATAATAACAATTATTTTGAAAACTTGATGAATGAATATTGAGAACTGGCACTAGAAGTAAAACTGTTGAAAAATAAATTAAAACGTTTGGCCTTGACATCACATAAACCTTAGTTAAAACTTTTTAGTTTTATATGTTAAAGTCAAAACTTAAACATAAAGAAGTATAAAGTTTACATCTAATATAATTTAAAATCTCAAAGCCAAATTCTAAGAAAGACTCATAAAAACACTCACAATCAGGAGTTACCTGAAAACAAAAACTTTAGAAAAATATTTGAAGCATAATAAAATACAATCTCTATTCATAATGTATAAAATAAAAATACAACGTACCTCCAATAACTGATCTCCATATTTTAAACCAACCTTTGATGCAATTGACTCTTTATTTAAGCCAGTTACGAAAATTCCGTTATCTTTGCCCTGCGCAATAGTTATGCCAAGAGGATATTGACCTTTTTCAATAACTATTAGACGAGGCTCTTCATCTCCGCTTTCAACACTAAACACATTTTTAAAATGTAAACTCCATATTTAATTGCAAAGTCCTTTTCTAGTCAAAAAGCCCTATAGAATTTTATAAATTTTTGGAATAAAAACAAAAGTATATATATATATATATATATATATATATATATATATATATATATATATATATATATATATATATATATATATATATATATATATATATATATATATATATATATATATATATATATATATATATATATATATATATATATAAACTAATTTAAAACATCAGATAATACGAATTCTCTCAATACTAAATAATTTATTTGAAATTTTTCCATCAAACTCTAATAACCTTCCTACAATCTCTTTACCATGGATACCAATATTATCTCCCAGACTTTGAAGAATATTCAGAAAAGCTGGTTACAGAACTGTTTTTAAATCAAATGCTAACCTTAAAACGCTATTAACATCTGAAAATAAGTCTAAATTACCATGCAACAGCACCCCAGGAACCTAATAATAAAGTGCAAATTTAATAAAGTGCAAATGCTCCAAAGTATACGTTGGTGAAACAAAACTTCAAATATAAACAAGGGTTCAACAACACCAAAAATTTTTGACTGAAGGCAAGTTAAACCAGTCTGCATTAGCTTTGCATAAAGTAAATTGTAATGAGGACATTGAATGGAATAAAGTAATAACACTTAAAGTTGAGGATAAAAAATTTGAAAGAAAAGTCTGTGAGGCCTTAGAAATACAAAAACATCAATGTTCTCTAACGTACGGTGGTATGAATTTGGACAATGGACAATATTTAAAAACAAATTTTTGGACTTCATTTTTTTTTTTTTTTCCATACTTAGGTAAAAGAAGCCATTATAAAGGTGATGTCAAAATTTAAAAATTTTTTGTTGTTATTTAACGGTCACAATTTTTGTAATTATATTATATTATATGCTGATGATGCCGGTGCCTATAATCCGGCAAAAATTTCAAATAAATTATTTAGTATTGAGAGAATTATCTGATGTTTTAAATTAGTTTATATTATATTTAGTTTATATTAGTATATATTTACTCTCATACAAAATGTCAACATTTAAATCATATATATATATATATATATATATATATATATATATATATATATATATATATATATATATATATATATATATATATATATATATATATATATATATATATATATATTTTAGCTAACTAACTTTTGTAATATTTTTCTTTCTTTTTAAAATCATTTAGGCAATGGACTTAAGGATATTGATTTGAACTTGAAATATTAGGAAAAAATGTTTAAAATAAATATTAGAAAAAACAACATCTTTCTTTTCTGTTGTAATTACACACACATACTTTTAAATTCAATTATTACTTTATTTTCTACTATAATTAGAAAGTTTTTGAGAGGGGCATCACTACCAAATATTTGAACGCATTACCCTTTGCTTCATTGGTAACTAAAAAGCACTATCGCACCTCCGCTACTTTTTTAAATCTAAAAATTAGTAGAGCTAATTTAGTTTTTTTTTATCTCCCCATCTAGTTTGCTAATAAATCCATCCTATAAAAACATCTAGTTTGCTAATAAATTAGGCAGTGCAACATAATGATTAACTAAATGACATTGAATTTTTTTTTTGAAAACAAACATTAAGTAAATAAGTTCTACTGTTTGATAACACCATTATTTCATTTTCCTTTATCTCATTTTCATTAAATAAAAAAAGTCTGCAATTTAAATTCATTTTCAGTAATGAAAAAGTTTTTAATTTAACTTTATTTTCAATAAATGAAAAAGTCTGCAATTTAAAAGTCTACAATTTAAACTATTTTGCTAAACAGCGCAATAGCATTTTTGACTTTATTTTTGACTACAGTTTGCTACTATATTTGATTAGAGAAAGTTTTTCAACTACACTACTTGTTGGAGAATCTGCATATAGCAGAATGATAGTAGTATCTGTGTGAGATACTACTGCACAGCTCAGGAAATTTTTGAATAAAATTTTTTGTTTATTAAATTTTTTATAATATTAATTTGTTATAAAACATTCTTGTAATGAATAATTTTTTGACTAAATGTCATTTAATACTTTTAATTGTTGATTAATTTCTAAAATGATTTTTAATCAAGTTTTAATAGTCAGTTTTTCTTTTACACTAACATACTATGCAAAACAACAAAAATTATCATTATTAATTCAAACCTGCAAGATTTATTGGTCTGTTGAATGCTTGAGTTTTTAGATTCCAATTTGTTTACTTGAGAAAACGCTTGCAAACTTTCATCTGTTTCTTCGTGTACAGATACAATATTGCCAAAATTGGATGACGCTGCTTTATCAGATAAGTCTGAAGAATTACCTGACTTATAACCAAATGAATGAGTGTTTTTATTTTTAAAACAACTGTTTTGAAGTAAATCAAGGCGCATATTTCCAGGAAAAGTTCCAAATTGTTCACTCTTATTTTGATTATTACTAAAATGTTTTTTAAGTAAATTACTTTGGCTATCATAAACTTCACTTACTGCTCTTCGTGAACGATTGTTAGCGATACTATCTTGATATAATGATAAATAGGTTTCCCTAATTGGCTGTCTAGTCTTATGCTTTGTATCTAAGAACTTATTTCCAGACAATATCATTGAAGTTGGTCTAAAATACTTTGTAGATAAATTTGATTCTGAATGTTGACTTGATCGAGGTGAAAAAGCTAACGGATCAGCTCTATTTATGTTAAGAGAGGGAATGAGAGGAGAAGAAGGAAGGATGAGTGGTGAGGGTGAACTCAAACAACTATAATCATAGGAATGACGACTACTGCATTGCACATTGTTTACTTTAGATCCTTGCACAGATTTTGGTTTACATGACAAATAGGCTTTTTCATTAGTGTATGATGTACATACTTGACAATTTGCTGGATCAATACCTTGATGCTTAGTTAACGAATTCATAAAATATGAACTTTTCCTATAAGATAATAGATTGTCTAGGCTGGAAATAACTTTTTGTTTATCATCTCTTTTTCCGCAGCTACCCTCATTGCACATAATGGATAAGATTTTATCTATTTCTTCGTCTATTGACGTCGTTTGGTTTAATGCATGTTGTGAGGCTAATGGACGAGTACTACTAGATTTATCATCATCACTGAATATTTTTTGTGAAGAACTAATACTGGGTTTTAAAACTGTTAGACTTAAACTACTAGCTTTTAAAAGAGACATTGCTTCATCATAAGGAACATTCTCCATGGAATAACCATTTACCTAAAATAAATTAATATAACAATTAAAATAAGACTTTAAAATATTTAAAATTATTCTTTTTTTTTATATAACTTGTCACAAAATGTTATCACTAATAACTTGTAATCAATGCCTGCCAACTCGGCTAAAAATCCATATATTCATGAATAATTGCCTGTACATTGGATTATGGGATGTCTTGCAGGACCATATAAACAAAACATAAAATTATTATACATCTTATTGTTTACTGAATATATTATACATTATAATATTTTAAATTTTATAAAATAAAAAAATGTTTATACATAATATGATGTAAAAAATTCCACTAAATTAATTTAGGTTTAACATATTATTTAATTCCACTAAATTAATTTAGGTTTAACCTATTATTTTATTATTAATAATTCCACTAAATTAATTAGGTTTAACCTATTATTTTATTATTAATAATTTCACTAAATTAATTAGGTTTAACCAGGCCTTGCGATAAAGCGTCGGGCGATGTGAATTTCACGTCGTCCAAGGGCGATTTTGCGTGTAGCTAGGGCTATTTGCGTCGAGCAAAAAATTTTTTGTTTGAGTATATTTAAAGATATTTTTGAGCGGAATTTTAATGAAGTAATTTACGATTATTTTAACATTTAACAAAGTATTTTAAAAACCGCAGGCAGTTGAAATAAAGGTTTGAATTGAAAAAAAATTAAATATGCTCATTATTAGAAGAAGAAGAAAAAGAAAAAATTCAGATTAAAAAAAAATTATATATCTTTTAAGCTAACATTTTGATAAAATTATTCAGCAATAGCAAAGTTGTCGATAAAATTGAACAAAAATACTTTCTTTTAGATTTAGATTTTAAACTTAAATAATTATTTTACGGGGGTTTGTTAGGTTTTAAAAAAAAAGATTTAAAAATATATATTAACTGTTAGACGTATTTAAAGTATTTAAGAGTAATTTCGAGGAAACATTTTAAAAATTGGTGAGCGCAAATAAAAAAAAAAAAAAAGGAATAATATTAAAACGTATTCTACTTGATTCAATAAAAAAGTACAGTTATTAAAATTTTTGTAAAAAGTAACTCAAAAAAATTACTGATCGCTTTTATGTTAAAAGTTACCGAAACTCAACGAGGCTCAAGAACAGCTGCTGAAAAATAAAACGTCAATAGTTTTTCGAATAATTTTTAATAATAATTTTTAAGAATAATTTTTTTGCTGAAATATTTCTTTTATACCTATAAGATTTTTATTCTAACATTTTATTTTATATTACTTGAAATAAAATTCCTTGTTAAAATTAAAAATCTATTCAAAACGTTCGTTTAAGTTTTTTATTAATATGAGTGATTGTGCTTATCAACCGCTTTATGAAAATAAATAAAAATTAATATATATTATATAAAATCGCTTGTAAAAATATTAGCTATTGCACAGTTTTTAATCGTACAATATTAAAATTTCCAGTTTATTACTCGCTGACTTTTTAAAAAGAAAAAATAATTATTTGAAAAACATTAAATTACATATTTAAGAAAAAAAAAATAAAATATTAGCATATTTTATAATCTTTTTTAAATTTAAGTTATAATGTTTTTTATTCGTTTAGTATAGACAAAACGTGACAAACGTCGAGAAAATAAACAGATGTTTTTACATTTTAAAAAACGAAACATTCCAAAACATTTTTAAATAATAACATTTCTACATAAACGATTTAAAGTTGTTTTGCGGTAATTAAGTAAATTGGTGCAGTTAATGTCGATAAATATGAAAAGCAAATAAAAAGAATTTAATGACGTCAAAAATCACGTCGTGCTTATGCGTCGCGCAGTTCTTATTCATCGCAAGGCCTGGTTTAACCTATTATTTTATTACTAATAATTCCACTAAATTAATTAGGTTTAACATATTATTTTATTATTAATTATTCCACTAAATTAATTAAGTTTAACATATTATTTAGATGCAAGCCTTGGGTTGTTAATTAGGTTTAACCTATTATCTAGATGCAAACCTTGGGTTGTTAATTGTTGTCATCAAGATCTCAATACAAAATCATGTTGTTGTCGTGTAAAAAAAGTGAAGAACTTAATCTTAACTATATTATTTGTATGAACATTTCGATTCTTCCCAATACTATCTTGCCAATAATGATGGTGAAAGAGCACTTGTAACTGCTGTACCAACAATTTTTAACTTTCTAAACCAACCTTCTACATTAAATTTAAAAATAAAACAGCCAACAAATAGACTTCATTTACAGGATAAAATACAAAAAAAAAACCAATGATAAATTTAAATTAAATGAAATAAATAATGTTGAAACTACTTTTAAAAAAAAGAACTTATCATCTCAAATGAAGATTTGTCAACTTAAAAAAAACTCTAAAGAACCTAAAGATAAAGCACAAGGTGTTTAAAAAATGCAATGGTTCAATAGATCATATTATTAATTTATCTTATTTAAAATATTAAATTAAACATTGGACTGAATCATGTATCACAGTCCACAAGCTTTCAAAATGTTTAGATGAGTTTTTCATTACCTGCTAGAAGCACTATTTCAATGTTTCTTGAAAAATCTTTTGGACGCTAGAATCTGGTTTTTCTAAAACCAGATTCTAGCGTCCCAAAACAATGACAAGATCATTGAAATTCAATCTAATGGCAAACCAGTAAACCAAATTCTTGAATTAATGGTCCACAGGTTATCAACGAAATGGAAACAAGCAATTGCATACTTTTACAGTAATACTACTATGTGTTCAACCAATTTAGCTAAAATAGTAAATACCGCTATGATTCATCTGCATAAAACAGGTTTAGCTGTAAGATATCTTGTTTGTGATCAAACCTCAAGTAATATTAGAACTCTTAAATTTTTAGGATTTTTATTATTAAAACAACATATTTCACATCCAACTACAGGAGGAAATGTTTATATAATATTTGATCCAACACACATCTTATAAAAAATGTTAGAAACACCTAATAAAACATGATATTTTATCTGATGGAAGCATCTGAAATAACTTTATAATTTGGACAAGGTTATATAATTAGGATAAGGTCCAACATGTGCCAAAATTGGCAAATCATCATTTAGATTCAGGATCACTATTAGCTGTACAAGTAAAATTAAAAACTCAAATTTTTAGTAGTCAAGTTGCTATTGCTTTGACTGTATTTGCTTTTGCAAAACTATTGCCTGAAAGTGTTTTGTCAACAGCCATTTTAATTAAAAATATGGATACTTCATTTAACATCTTAAACTCTCACAGACTAAAAGCAGATAAACCAACACGCTAAATAGTATCCTTTAACTCTAAATAGTAGTTTTATACAACAGCTTGAAGGTTCAAGAGTTTAGATTAAGGAATGGCGTTTTTCTGGTGCAAGCAGCCAAAAAAGTATATCCAGTCATTGGGGTTTAGATGTCACTATTTTAATATTCTTTGTCTCGCAAACAAGTTGTTTCATGAGGATTTTGTTTATGTTTGCACAGTTCAATTTAAACAGGACTGTTTAGAAATTTGCATTACGAAGCAAAGGAGGTTGGAATTACAGATCAACAGCAATGTAATTTAAATCAGTATATAAAAATGTCTTAATACTCCTTTCAATAGAACAATCTAACTTTAATAGTAATTGTCTCCCTGAATTAGATTTCTCTGCTGCAGTTACCACTGACTCAATTACATAGTATTTGAGAATCAAGTCTCTGCAAATGAATAATTGATTTTCAAACAGCCAACTACATTATTTAAAAAGAAACTACAACCTTTTGCATAACAAAATGTTTCAAATGATTCAGTTTCACAGTCAAACAGGTTTTGAAATCAATTGCAGATGATTTGATAAAGAAAGTTCAAGTCTGACAAAAATGTGTACAAGTTTTTTCAAGCGTGACACCCTGTGAAAGAAACTTATTTAAAACATATTACTTTTTACAAAACCTACTTCATGAAATGGAAATTGTTTTTACAATACAAATAAAACTTTTTTTAACTAGAAAAAATATTCAATCCTCGAAATAAGGAAAAATGAAGTTGGAAATAAATTGCCGACCTCAAACTGTTAGAGGTTGGCATCAGGTTAGCAAAAAGATATTGACACAGAAGGGTTACTATAAAACATAGAAAATGAGGTCGACGATTTTTTGCCGACCTCAAGCACTTTAAGGTTGGCAGTTAGGTCAGCATTATTGAATGCCAATCCTAATTTCGAGGGCTGAATATTATACAACAAATTATTAACATAATAAAAAAACAATTGCAATTTTACATTTCTTTATAATGAACATGTTGATCATGCCTTTCATTGAATAGAAAGTTTATTCAGACACTTTGTTTATATGAGAATATCTTATTTTAAAAGGTTTTATAATCAAGATCTGGCACCACAAAAAAAGGCATGTACAAAAATAGCTCTATTATCTGTCTGATTTTATTTAAAAGATAATTCTTGAAACAAGATATTTCTTATTTATAATTGTTATTTTTTCTCTTGGTATTATTATTTATATAATTAGCACCTAATTAAGGGGTATATATTTAAACTAAAATAGGGTATATATTTAAACTAATATGAAACAAATACAGTGATAACATAATTAAGAAGACTTATGCAAAACATGTTAAGTTTATATCAAATTTTAACTGCGTCAACATATTAATGTTAGATGATATAAAAATATTTTATAAGCAATTTTATGAAATAGATTTAATTTATAAAAGAAAAGTTTTTTTTATGGAAATCCCTCCAGTAAGAATAATGCAAATGTTTTTATATTTCACTAAGAGTTGCGTACTGTTATGATTATTTGGTTCCGCAAGACATCCCCCAATGCTATGCAGCTAAAATTATATACATTTATCGGGAGTTGGCAGGCATTACTTGTAATCACCTATCACTTGTCATCACAAATAACAACTTTGTAATCTCTTAGATATTGTATTCATAAGCTAAAAAACAGATTATTTTTTCACTTTTTTCTCGCATAATATGGGAGAT